AAACAATAGATTATCCACCTTCTGTACATTTATTTCCTTTCAGATTAAGCATCTTTCTAAAGGAAATGGTAAGAGTCATTTCATATGTTATATTTCTGAGCTTTCATTCAATAGGATTAGTAACACATTTTTTTCTCATTTTTAACAGCACATGATACAGATTTGGGAAAACAAAAGGATATTTCTGAAATCAATTTGGGTGAGTTCAATTTTTACAATATTGAGGACTTACAATAATTTATTGTTTGTATTAATTAATTAATTTGAGACATGTTCTCCCTGTGTAGCCAAGGCTTGCCTGGTTGACCTCAAATTATGTGTCTCCTCTTTCCCTTAATTAACAATGCTATTTCCTTAAGGGCTTCCTTTCTGTTTACAGTATCCCCAGTATCTAGAAAAAACCTAAGACATACAAAACAGTTAATCAGTATATGTTATCTGAACCAATTGGGTAGTTAATAGATCACGACTTAATTTAGTCAGATATGCACTTTTTAAATATTTTATTTATTCTTTTTATTTTTTGTGTATGAGTGTATTGCCTGCATGTGTGTAAGTGCACCCGTGTCGTGCAATGCCCACAGAGGTCAGAAGAAGGTGTCGGATCCCCTGGAACTGGAACTGGCGTTAGAGATGATTGTTAGCTGCCATGTGGGTGCTGGGAATCAAATGTGGCTCCTCTGAGAGAGCAGCCAGCTCTTAACAGCTGAGCCATCTCGCCATCCCCAGATATGCACTCTTTTAGAACATATGTCCACCACATGACCCCATCTATGGTGACTAAGCACCAGGGTTAAGATTTTAGTGAGCTTATTCACAGTGCTATCTGGCCCTACGGCTAGTGAGGTGGCAATGCACCTGCAGCTTGTTGTTATTTAGTTTATTGTTATCATGTGACTAGTTCAGGTTTAAAGAGATTAAACATATCTATGGAATGTACGCATAGGGAAGTAGGTAGAGAAGGGCAGTCTTCATCTTTGGCAGGGGAAGCCATGCTGCCTTCTAACACCTGACACCTCTGTGGTATCAATGCTAAAACTGAACAAACTTGGAAAGAAGCAGCAGGTTTTGCAGAATAGATTTCTGCTATGATATGAGACTGTCATGATTGCTCCCTGGCTTGGTTTCCTAATTGCAAATCAGGGGCTGTCTTCAGCTGGAACTGCAAAGCAACAATCCTGTCTGAAGTTGTTTGCCTTTTATAGGGCTCCTAACACGGGAAGTTACAATCAGTGGAATTCTCAGGCTGGGGAAGTAGCTCAGTTAGAGTGCTTGCTCAGTATGAACATAGGCATGGGTTTAATCCCCAGCATCACTCAAAACTGGGTGTAGTGACAAATGCCTCTAATACTAGCACTTAGGAGGTACAGGCAGGAGGATCAGGAGTTTAAGGTCAACCTTGGCTACATAGAATGGTCACAACCAACCTGTGTTACTTAAGACCCTGTCTCAAACAAACAAAAAAATAGATAAAACACCTGGACTCTAATTACTCAGTGGGGGAGATTGTGGTGTATTTTAATTGTAATTTTAATGATTATTCTTTAGCTATTTCTGTTTCAGGCACATTTTAAGGCACTTTTAAATGTGTTACCTCATTTAATTAATTTTTATAGGTCTGTGCATTTGGGGGTATGTTGTTATTCGTATCGTTAAGGAGACAACATGACAGTAATTAACTCAAGGCCAAAGGTTGAACCCAGGCAGACTTATTCAACTGCTTATACTTTTTTACTGCTGTGAAATGAAAAACATACTTCAGTGGCATTCTTTAAGTAGCCAAGAAGTTTTCCCACAAGATCTTTCCCTTTAAGAATCTTATTTTCAAAAATTGTTTGAGATCACAATACAAGTAGCGTGAGTCTGTTCTGCTGAGCATCTGACAGCAGGTACTTGGGGCTACAGTGTTGAACAGATCTGCACACATTTCCCTGGTCTTTCTTATTACAAGGGCAGTGTCTCTGGTTTAGTTTTGGAGGCTGCCAGCATCCTTTTCATGGAAAGAAGCAAACCAAATTCACTTACCTTGATTCAGAAGGCAAGAGAGCACAAAGGACCAGGATGGAATGTCAGCTTTAATGTTCGCTTAGACAGTGACCTCCTAGCTCATGATTTCTCTCCGGATCCCATCTCCTCCTTCGAAGGATGAAAAGTTTAGAATTCCTGACCAATAAGATCCCTTCTAACTCATCTCAGTGCTAAGGTTCTTGGAGAAGATCTTTTTATTCCAAAATTGAAAAGAGGGCATATCGATATGTAATACTGGTCATTCACACTTGCTCAAGTAGAGGGAAAAATGTGAATTTCCAAAAGAGTTGTAGTGCATAAAGATAAAAGATGCGTAATGGCAGAGATTAGTTTTATTGTAAGCTGTCTTTTAATAATGTTCATTTCAAATATCCCTTTCTTTTTAACTTCATCCTTAGCTGCAGGCCTGGACCTGTTTCAAGGGGACATCCTTCTGCCGGTGAGTGCTACCAATGGTACAGTAACATCCCTTGGACAGCACTGGGAGCTCAGCCTCTGCTCTGTGGCGACTCCCAGGTTGGACAGTGTGGAGGAGAAGCACGATTCTAATCTATAATCTATACCCATAAAAACTTCGCCTGTAGCTGATAGTAATAAAAACAAGCAAACAGCACAGAAAAGCCTACCATTATTAAACAGGTCATTTATTCAATTTTTCCTAAAGGAAGACTAGGAAGGAGGAAAATGTGCTGATATGTTTGTAGGTGTCGTGCCAGGTTTGGGGACACCTGGCCTCTTTATTTTGTTCCTAATAATTCCTCTGAATTTCAAAAATTATCTCTAAAAAATTCCTAGTGTTTTATAATGAGAGCACAAATGCCACTAAATTATTTAGATTGCTTTATCCGTTCTTTGTAGTGTGAAAATTGAATGAAAGATGAAGGTAGTGTTGCTAGGTTTCCCAGGCATTGCTTTTTTATTGTTTGTTTTGACATTTTGTTATTGTTATTTTACTGTTTACTTATTGTTGTTTCTGTTTTTTATCTATTATTTTTATTATTTTATGTGTATGATTGTATTGCCTGCATCTATGTAAGTGCACCCATGTCATGCAGTGCCTGAGGAGGTCAGAAGAGGGTGTTGAATTCCCCTGGAACTGGAGTTAGGATAGTTGTTAGTCACCATGTGGGTGCTGTGCTGGGAATCAAATCTGGTCCTCTGCAAGAGAAGCCAGTGCTCTTAACTGCTGAGCCAACTCTCCAGCCCGCTTCTGGTTTGTTGTTGGTTTGGTTTTGGTTTTTTGTTGGGTTTTGTTGTTGTTGTTGTTGTTGTTGTTTTGTTTTTCTTTTGTTTTGTTTGAGACAGGGTCTCCCTATTGCCCCAGCTGTCCTGGAACTCAGTATATAGACCAAGCTGGCCTTAATCTCACAGAAATCTGCCTGCCTCTGCCTCCAGAGTGCTGGGATTAAAGGCATACATTTCCATACCCAGCATTATTATTTTTAAATTAGCTTTCAGAATAGCTGGTTTCCTTATGGTATTTACACATATATTTAGTTTTGGCTGGTTCACCCTCCTCCCCTATCCCTTCCCTGGTCGTTCCATCTCCCCATTCACCATTAAGCCCTTCCAACCCTAGTATTTCATCTTCCACTTTCAAATCACTTGCTTTGGGCGACCCTCCCTACCCTTCTCTCTTGGAACCTCTTTTTCCTCATCTTATGGGTCTCTTTTTATTTTCTTAGCCTCTATACATGCTTACTTCCACCTAAATACCAATACATAAAGATTAGAAACTAGAAATAGGATCCTTCTGGGAGAGAGAGAGACCATGTAGTGCTTTTCTTTCTGAGCCTAGGGCATGTGATACATGTATAAAATGGAATTCTATTCAGCTGTAAAGAAAAATGAAATTGATGGGAAAATGGATGGAACTGAGACAATATTATTTTTGCTTTTGTTTTCACAGAGCTTGAGAAATGGCCTGAGAGACCCAAGCAGCAGATGGAAATTTCCCATTCCTTACATTCTTGCTGATAATCTGGGTAATGGCAATTGTTCTCCAGAAGGCGCTTCTGGTCAAAGTTCTGTTTCCCTTTTCTCCTGTTCACCAGCTTCAGACTGAGAGCAGTCACCAATATATAGAGTCCTAAAGGTTCTTTACCTCAAGGGAAGAAAGAATCTTATCAAAACTAGGACTACAGGTTAACACTCTCTGTGGGAAAGTGGCAAAGAATAAGGCCATAAAATACCAGGTGAAGGCACAGTGCTAAACACGTGAGAGGGTGGTGCGGATGAGACAATCTGAGAGGACTTAACTAAAATTTGCCTTGAAACATGAGGACCCGAGTTCAATCCTCAGGACCCCATGTGAAAAATCAGACATGATGACTTGTGTTTGTAATCCCAGTGCTTGGGAGGTAGAGACAGGTAGGTCCCTGGGGCTATGGGCCAACCAGTCCATCCTATCTGGTGAGCAAGAGGAGAGAGAGAGAGAGAGAGCGAGAGAGAGAGAGAGAGAGAGAGAGAGAGGCTCTGCCTCAAAAAAAGTGAATTGCACCTGAGGAACAGCGCCAAAACTAATTGCTTGCCTCTAGAACAAAGACACAGAAACACACACACACACACACACACACACACACACACGCACAAGCACAGATGTAAAAGTTCCAGCACACATTAAAATGTTAATAAAACCAGCAGTAAGCTAAGGAACAGAGCTACAGCTGGGTATAATTCAATGTCATAATCATTAAAAACGTATACTTCAAAAGTTTATTTAGACTGAGCTGAATACAGAATGAGGATATTATTTTCCAGCATATTTATTTCTTCCTTTTTTGTGTCAAGAAGAACATGACCCAATTTTGAGAAATGGAAAGCATATATTTCACACTCTCATGGTACTGTTTTCTCAAGCTTAATAGTTTCTACTTTCTTCTCCCTTAAGATAAATATCTGGGTAGTTGATGTTTAGTGACTATAGAAATATTAATTGGTAGAAAATGAATGCATGTCATAAGCAGGCACTTGGCTGATCTTCAAGCAGCGGACTTATAGCAGCCACAGCGATTCCCTGTCTACAAAGCCCACTCTTCATAGATGGCAAGGATGAACGGGAAGAGGGGAAACCAGGGCAAGGCTGCTTCACCTCACTGGGCACCTGGGCTGTCCCTACTCTCTAGATAAGTCAGTTGTGTTTCAATGTTTTCTGTCACTGTTATCAGTGTTGCTTCTAATCCTTTTGAGAGCAAATAGCTAGATATAAACACTGTTGTTCTCAGGGTATTGGGAAATAGAGTCATTTCCCCCAGGGTTTGCCAGCATGCCTGCAAATTCATAGCATGCTAGTATTTCCTGAAGTATAATTTAAGAAATGGAAGGAGCTCTTTCCCTTGACTATTTTCCCTCCTGATTGTCTCATCCGCACCACCTTCTCATGTGCTAAGCACCATGCCTTCACCTGATATTTTATTGAAGTTTCACCAGGTCTATGCGAAGTATTAAGTCACTGCTTCTCAATGTACGTACGACTTCCTGAGGGCTGGAAATGTAGCTCACTTGGTAGCATAGCCTAGTCTTCATGAAGCACTGGGTTCCATCTCTAGTGGTCTATAAAGAAGTGATATAGAGAGAAACTCCTGTAATCCCAGGTCCTGGCAGATGAAGGCTGGAGGATCGGAAGTTAAAAGTCAAGAAAAGTTCTTTGAATTTATCCTACCTAGGTTCACCAAACTTCTTAGATCTCTAAGATAATATTAAAATATCAAGTCTGAGAAATCATAGGTCATTATTTTCCAAATATTCTTACATGCCTCTCCTATCCTGAAACTCTTAATTATAAACACGTTAGACTGATGTTCCCCATTAGTTCTTAAGACACTGTTCATTTTATTACTATTTTCTCTGTGATCCCTTTCTTTTTTAAACCATCTCTAGTTTTCTATTAAAATCATTCCATGAATTTTCCATTTGGGATATATTGCTGCATTAGTTACTTTTCTTTTTGCTGTGACCAAACCCTTGATAAAGTGCAACTCAAAAGAGGAAGGGCTTACACAGTTTGAAGGGATGTAATTCATCATTCTGACAGTAAAGATTAACTGACAGGAAAACTGATAGAATTTTCGCTTGATACTTTTATTAAAATTTCATTTCTTTGCCATGATTCTTTGTTGGTTCCTCTTTTTCTTTAAAACCCTTTAACAAATATACAGTAGTGCTTTAAACTCTTTGCCAACTCTAATATTTGGGTCCTCTTGTGCTCGGTGGATCATAATTTCCTGCTTCCTCATACACTTGGTGATTTTGTGCTGTCAATCTGCTCTGAAGGCCGTTAAGTTTTAAATCACGGTGCCAGTAATTTAACTGTTATTTATGAAGGCTTTGCTTTGGGATGGTCCTATTTCCAAGCAGATCTCTGAGCTCTAGGGCGTAGTCATGTCTCTTAAGCCTCCTTGGTGTCTCTGGGGTTTTAGTGGAATGCCCAAGGGTTTTCCCAGCCACTCCAACTTCACGTGGCTCCAACTCTTGATTCGTTTTTGACCATGATGAGCAACACGTGAGCTTTCTGTTAAGCTTGGTCAACTTTCCACCTGCTATTTCCTACTAAACTACTTGGAGCTGCCCCCACTTATGCATACTTCCTGAGTTAGATGAGGGCTGAAGGATCACTTGGGAACCACATCTACTCCTGGATCACAGCTCTTATCTTTCCCTGATTTTTCCTCTCTTGATTCTTTGACTTTTCATCCACTGAAGCTGAAAATTAGTTCCATAGTCGTTCCTGGGAGATGTCAAGAACTTACATAGCAGATTTATGGTTCAGTTCACTCTTCGCGACACTAAAAGGACCATGGAATACGCCCTTTCAAAAGGCTGTAACAGTGTGAACCTTACCCAATGACATTTCCTTCTTTCATGGATAGAATTTCCTCTACTTTGTGTTCTGGTCATCTTTTAGTGCGTTTAATGAATTTCTTTTTTTAAGTTTTCCAGTCTGTAACCAATAGCTGTGGGAGGATTTGTCAGATTTAAGCCCCTCCCCCACCCCACTGCAGCGTCAGGAAACCCTCAGAAGATTTTCCAGCTGAACACAGCTGGCCTTCCAGCTAAGCTCACAGGGCTTCCTTCTGGGAATTAACAATGCAATGAGGTGTAAACAAGCTCCTTTTAGTAAAGGAGCTAACCTATCGTGGTGCAGCAGACCACCTACCACCTATGAAAGGACCATTCAAGGAAATCAAGTGTACCTCTTGCAGGGAGAGGGGGACACACAGAGTGACTTTACGCCCCCCCCCCATGGGATAATTTTTATTAAACCATTACAGAGTCATTTAGTTCTCTATTTCAATTTTTTTTCATTATTATCTTTATTTTATGTGCCTGAGTGTTTTGCCTGCATGTATGTAAGTGCATCTGTGTCCTACAAACTACACATAAAGTAAAATGTAAAACCTCAGTTGTCTGGGTATCAACCCATCCTTGTCACAGCAATGCTACGATACATGTTAGACTAAAGGGAAGATGTCTGAACCACCAGCATCTGTCATTCCTGTTCCTTCAGGTCCATTGGCTTCTGCTGCTTTAGGGTAGAGCAATCTTAGGTAAACCGTGTGTATACAATGCTGGCCTCTTTCTTAGTGATCTTACAGGGGAAGCAGGCTAACATCTCATGTTTTGCTTCTAGAACCTCACACTTTTTAAGCTATGCTCTCCTCCACCTACGGAGATTTTATTTTTGAGACAAGGGCTCGTGTAGGCCAGGCTAGCCTTCAACTTGCTGTGTAGCTGAGGATGACCTTGAACTCCTGATCCTCCTGCACTTCTGAAGTGCTAGGATTATAGCCGTCACTGCCACATCCAGTTTATGCAATGTTGAGGATCGAACCCAAGGCCTTATGCATGCTAGGCAAGCATTCTACCAGCTGAGCTACATCCCCAGTCCTAGCAGAGATATCTTTTTAGTCTGGGGTAAGGGATGCTATTTCCACAGCTTCTCTCCAAGCTAATTTATCATGCATATAAACGCCAGAGCTACTTGTGTTTTCTGCCCTGCCACGTGATTCTTCCAAGGCAAAGCTCTCCCAACCTCTGCTTGAATGAAGGGAAAATGAAGAAAACAGCAAGACATTGTTTTATGATTGTATCCAACTATGTACACATGCACGAACTCCTATTCTGTAGTTGGCTTTCCACTACATGTTTAAAGTAAGCACTATCTCTGTGTCCACAACTAACTGCAGTTTTAGTTTCCAAGAAATCGATTTATGACTAAGAAAGAAAAAAATTCTCTAAGGCACCCCTGTGGATTTTGTAGTAGTAGCACAATTTTCTGTAAACTGCAGTCATGTCTATTATTGAAGATCTAAGTAAAGCTTGGTGATGTTTTCATTGATTTCTACAGGGCTGAATGCCAAAGGAGCCATCCTCAATGCCTTTGAGATGTTCCGCCTCAAGTCCTGTGTGGATTTTAAACCCTACGAAGGGGAGAGTTCGTACATCATCTTCCAGGAATTTTCTGGGTTAGTATGAAATACAGACTATGAAAAGCATGCATTTTGAAAGCTAAAAGAAATTATTGGCAGAAGAAGAAAAATATCTTTCACTGTGGTTTTTAAATTTTTATTTCTTTGTTTTTATTTTATGTGTGTATTTTACTTGCATGTATGTAAGTCCACCCATGTCATGCAATGCCAGAGGAGACCAGAAGAGGCCATTTGATCAGCTAGATCTGGAGTTACAGACTGTTGTGAGCTTCCCTGTGGGTGCTAGGAACTGAATCTTAGTCCTCTGCGAGAGCAGCACGTACTCCTAACTGTTGATCCAACTCGTCAGTCTGCCACTGATTTTTTTACTGTAAAATATTTTCATATGCTAAACAGAAAGAGATTGTTTGAATTACATCTGGGGCCAGAAAAATTTCTCTCATTTTATTCTTCCTAGTTTTAGGTCATGATTTTTTAAAATTTACTTACTCTTTGAGAATGTCAAATATGTATGCAATGTGTTTTGATCTAACAATCCCATCACCCCTTTCCAACTCTTCCCAGACCTCCCCCAATGCATCCGCCTTCCAACTTCACGTGTTCACTTTTTACTGATTAATCACTGAATCAATCAGTGATGACAGTATGCCCATGGGTATAGAGTTGGCTATCCACTAATAGTCAGCCTACTAGAATCTGTAACCCTGAATGTCCCTCATCAGTCATCAATTGCCAGTAGCTCCTCAGCTACTGGTGGGGCCTCAGGCACTCCTCCCCTATCCATGCTGGAATGTTGACTGACTTGATCCTGTGTGGTCTTGTGACGGAACTAGAGACTGCTGTGAGTCCCTGAGTGCAGTGGCCTTGTTAGCTCAGAAGACAGTTTCAGGACAATCCTCCCTGACACCTAGCTCTTACAATCTCCCTCCCTCCTCTTCCACAAGGTTCCCTGAGCTTTGGAGGGAATGGGTCATATTTTAAGTTACAGTAGTTTTTTGTTTTGTTTTGCTTTGTTTTTAAAGTCAGGCTTATTGAAGTACAGATTTTTGACAGTGCTGTTCTATGTTGTAAGACTCTGTTGGCTGAATTCTGAAAATATCTAGATACAAGTTTGTTCTTCATAGGTTTTTATGTCTAAGAAAGTAGATCAAAAAAGAAGCTTTTGAGTTGGGTGTGGTGGTACACACATTTAATCCCAGCACTTGGAAGGCAGAGGCAGACAGATCTCTGTGAGATGGAGGCCAGCCTAGTCTATATAACAAGTTCCAGGCCAGATGGGGCTACAGGGAGACCCTGTCTTAAAAGAACAGAGAAAGAAAGAAAGAAAGAAAGAAAGAAAGAAAGAAAGAAAGAAAGAAAGAAAGAAAGAGAGAGGGAGGGAGGGAGGGAGGGAGGAAGGAAGGAAGGAAGGAAGGAAGGAAGGAAGGAAGGAAGGAAGGAAGGGATTGCTTTCTGTCACTTTCTTCAGTGGTATATGTGGCAATCAGCCCAATCAACCTAGGCTGGATGTGGTTGACAGGCAGAGTCATCACTAGCAGAGACACAGTTGGCTTTTATCTTCAAGCCCTATCTGAAATGGTGTCTTCATTCCATAGTCCCATCCCTGCCTCCGGCTTTTGTCCACAAAGATTGTCTATTTCTGACCCTGAGGTTTTTGTTACTCCTGGTTGGCTGAAAGAGATGAAAAGGGGAGTTAGCATATGGATTTATCCTCTTCAGAATAAAAGCATGCAAAAATAAATCAATGAACAGAAACAAAGTACGTATCCTGCTTAGATACAGACTGAATGCCTAGCTTACCTGAGTAGTTTCTTATTTCATTCTTTTATTTTAAAAATGCATACCTACTATGTGCTGAGACATATAGTAGCATAGTTTTAGAGCTCACATGGTTTTCAAGTGGCAGGTGAGGTAGGAGAGAAATAGTAAGAGTTTTAACACATGTTGGCAAGATGGAAGTGAGACCTCCTGCAGACTAACTACAAGGTTAGCAAAAGAGTGAAGTCAGAGCTGTCTTTAACTTCCGGCTTGAATGGATGGTGAGGGTTAATTTCTTCCACAGAGGGTCAGACTACTGCTTATTTGAAAGAATCACTTTGAGGATAAAATAATGAATTAGTTTTGGAATATGTGCTATATTATTCGAAGTTTTAAAGAAATTTATTACGTTTTATCTATTTGTGTATAAGTGGAGTGTGTGTGTGTGTGTGTGTGTGTGTGTGTGTATCTCTGTGATGCAGTGCACATGAGGAAGTGGATGGATGTCTCCTTCCATCATGTGGGTCCCTGGGATTGAACTCGGGTTCTCAGGCTTGGCAACAGGAAATTCTCTTTATTGGCCACTCTGGCCCAATTTGAGAGTTCTGGATGGAGAAAATAAGTGTTTGGCTTTATTTTCCTTTCAGTGCTAGTCACTGAACTCAAGGCCTTTCGTGCTGGGCAAGCCCTCTACCACTGAGCTACAACATCCTCAGCTCTCTTTTCACTTTTTAACTTTAGAAAAGAAATTTGAGACAAGTTCTCACTAAACGGTTCGTGCTGGGTTTGAAAACACACATGGCCCAGGTAGAACTTGAACTTCGAAGCCTCCTGCCTCAGCCTCCTGAGCAGATGGGATTACAGGCCTATACACCAGCTCCGTTTCTTGAAACTTCTATTTTGCATGAAGGGAAAAGATTTAACATGTGGCTCAGACCTGCCATAACCAAACATTTCAGAGGTTCTCTGCTTTTGTATGGTGCGCGCTCTCTGGGCGCACTCCCGGAATGGCACGGCGGGTCCGCAGGCTCCCCCGCCGTGCGTCTGGAGGAAGGCAGGTCTGGCCCCGCGGGCTTCTCCGTGTCTCTATGGGCCTCAGGCGTGGGGTGTGCGGGTATCTGGGGGTCGCTCTAGGCCCCTGGATCTCGGGGTCCCTGCCACACCTGGCGAGTCGGCCCGGCTCTGGCCACAGGCGTCTCTGGGAGCGGCAGCAGATAGGTCGCTGTCCGCAGCTCCGGTGCTGACAGCTTCTCTGCTACTGGAGCGTTGTCCAGCTGAATCCTGTCCCTGTTTCACCCGTCTACTTTTCCTCAGGATGCGAGGTCCACTGGCCACTGAACCCCACCGGAAGAGTACGAGGCTAGCGAAAGCTAGGAATGTCCGCAAGTCGGTCACGAGGGAGTGCGCCCCCTGGAGAGGCTAGGTCACCAGTAGTAAGGCACAGGACTCAAGACTCGGCTTAGTCTGTGTTACAGCTTTATTAAGTGTCTCTGCTCTCAGTAATTCAGCAGCTCTGTGACCCAGCTCTCTGTCTATTAAGAGAAGACTAGGATACTTATACCATGGGGGTAGTGGTAAAAGCTTTGGCTGTTAGATGCTTTGTGAGGCATTCTATTTACATATGGAAGTGGATTTCTGCCACACTGCTAGACTGTTGACTGCCTGGAAAAATTACAGGAAGGCATGGTACCTTTCAGAGCCAAAGGCCATGTTTATGTTACGGCATTTGTGGTGGGCACTTCAAAAGGAGAGTCAGGAAAGATGCCAGGGAGGCACCCTGCTATGAAAGGAGCCCTCAGCACATGATCCCGAGCTGCATGAGCTGTCCGGTCGTGAAGGGACTTCTACTTGGCATAACAGAGGTCTCCAACACTTTTGAAAACTTTTTTCCTGGAAATCTCTGAACTTAAGAAGCTATGGAATCTTTGAATCAAATAATTCATTGCAAATTTCCAAAGAAAATTTAATTTTCTTTATTTCTTTTGCATAATTTTGTTCATAAAGAGAAACTTCTAGAAAATAAAGGTGCTATGATTACTTTCCAAAGTCCTTTTATTTTATTACAATGTCTTAATGTAACCCAGGCTACCCCCAAACTTACTATGTAGCTGAGGCTAGCATTAAATTCCTGATCCTTTGGTCTTCCCCTCCCGAGTGCTGAGATTACAGGTGTGCACTTCCACAGATGGTCCCAAAATTCTATTCTCAGTAAAATTATCTTGGCTTCCTTTCAGCTGTTAACTCAGTTTCCAGGATCTGACAGGAGGCAGGCCAACTGGAATAGACATCTTCTCTAGAAGCTGAATTTGTGTGCTCTTATTGTCTATAGCTAAGAAATACCTCTATTATACTTACCTATTAACAAAGGAGAAAAGGGAGGGAGAGTATTTGGGGGCAGGGACTGGCCCCCAGTACCCTGAAACCATTCAAGGCATTGGTCCCCAAGGCTAGAAGCCTACTGGGCCTTGTAAGAAGGGTGCAATCAAAGGGTTATGGTATGGCAGAATTAAAATGTTGTTCTTGCAACTTACGCTTTTCTGTTGTTTGGGATCAGATGTTGATGTGAGATATTATGCTATGGGGTATAAAAATATTCAACAAAGTCTTCTGTTTGATTCTAGATAATTTGTGGAGTAAACTTATTTGATAATGAAATGCTACTGCCAGAGAGGAAGATTGATTATAGTTTAGGCCTACGCTTGAACAATTTATTAAATTTATTACAAATCTTTAAGGTACACACTTAAAGTTGGTGAATTATATGCTCTAGAGGTCATATTTAAGTAGAGTCATTATAAAATATCCATTTGTATGTGTATGTATGTATGTATGATGTGTGTGTGTGTGCACACGCATTTGTGTGTATGAGTACAGTCCTGTTTGCCATGCATGCATGTGGAGGGAAAGGAGAAGCTCAGGTGTCCATCCTTACCGTCCACCTTGTTTGGACAGGGTCTCTCTTTTGCTGTGCACCATGCACACACCAAGCTAGCTGGCCTGAGCTTGCAGAGCATCATCTGTCTTTGTCTCTTATCTTGTCCTAGGAACAACCGGGATTACACACATGTGCTGCCACGCACAGCTTTATGTGAGTTTTAAGGATCTGAACTCAGGTCATGACACTTCTGTGACAAGCACTTTATCCACTGAGCACTCTTCCCAGTCTACAATATCCTTTTAAAAATATATTTTTTATTTGTAATTGTGTGTGTGTGTGTGTGTCTGTGTGTGGGTACGTGCACATGAGTTTTTTAATAAATAGCATTTGAATTAATATT